TCGGGCTGTGACCTCAAATGTCTTGCCAGATGCATAGGGGCTTTCCAACGCAGCAACACAAATCTGAGCAACCTCCCATCTGAAGAGAACGACAATCAAGCCAAGAATCCCACTATCTCAAGTCAACCTCCAATCACAACGTGATTGGTACAATTTATGTACAAATCCCTGTAATCATGTATTTTCCTCTTTTGTTATAGTTGACCACCGCTAGAATCCTGTATATATGGTGTATCTCAATATGAATCAAATCATCGAGTGATTCAACCCAAACTTCTCTCTTGTCTATTTTTCTACATGGTATCAGAGCTTTACAGGGGCTAACGCTCAAAACTCGATCCAACAGTTCCTATGGCCATCGACGAAGGCTCGCCTATCCCTTCTTCTGTCAATTCTCAAACCTCTTCCCAAATTTCTCAAACCTCTCAAAATTCTATCCTTTCCATGTCAGCCGCAATTCCAACCTCCTTCAATATCTCCCACATATTCAATACACCTATGGATCGTAACAATTTCCTCTCTTGGAGATCGCAATTTCTTGATGTCCTGGAAATCCATGACTTGGAGGATGTCGTGAAGAATGAAAATCGCCCTGCTAAAAGGCTTGAGGATGGCTCAATCAACCCCACCTATGCCAAGGACAAATTAGTTCTCAGCTGGATAAAAGCTACCGCATCTCCCTCTATCAAAACCCTCCTAATCTCTTGCACTTCAGCATACGAAGCTTGGACCCTCCTTGAAAAGAGACTCTCACCACTGTCCAAAACTCACTTACGCACACTCCGTGATCAAATTCGTAGCCTAAAGAAAGAACCAGAAAAAGCAATGACAGAATATCTCCTGGATGCCAAATCTCTTTATGATCAACTTGCTATTGCCGGGTCGATGATGACAGAAGGAGAACTCATCGAATTTATTCTCGATGGCTTGGGGCACGAATACAAGGAGTTTACAACTTCATTGCATCTCCGTTCGTCCTTCACTTTCGACGAGTTCTATGATCTCCTCATCCAAGAAGAACACCTGATCAAAAGGATGTCATCTCTCTCTATTTCTACAGGAACAGCTCTTGTCGCTGATCGGACCTCAAATAATCAGCAGAACCACTCAAATCCTCGACCTTACACCGACAACAACAACAGGCACAACCGTGGAAAGGGACGTGGTCGTGGTCGCGACTGGAACTCAGGTCGTGACAATAGTTATCGCAACGGCGACCGTAATTGGACCTCTAGTAATCGGCAAGGCAAGTGGGCTCAGTCTTCTAATAATAATCATCGTGGGTTTTCAGAACATCCATCCTCAGATAATCGGCCTCCCCTCCTTCCAACGCCGTCTCCTCAACAGCACCACCAATTCTTAGTTATTTGTCAACAATGTAACAAACCTGGGCACACGTCTCGGGTTTGTCCTGAACGCGGAAATTTTGCTTACGTTGCTGAAGCCAATGAAAGCACCTCCTCCGTGTCTGGACCAGTCAGCAAAAATTGGGTTGTCGATTCAGGAGCAACCCATCATATGACATCGGATCCTTCCTTGCTTTCCCATGTCCAACCATACACAGGTAACGACTCAATTATCGTAGGAAATGGTAACCAGTTGCCTATCTCCCATATTGGTAAAACCACTTTATCATGTTCCCATGGCTCTCTAGTGCTGCATGATGTCTTGTATGTTCCTGCCATCACAAAGAATCTTTTATCTATAAGACGTTTTTCACGTGACAATAACTGTTACTTTGAGATGGATTATAATGGTTTTCGTGTGAAGGACAACAAGACGGGGAAAATTTTACTTATTGGGAGTAGCCATGGAGATCTCTACTACATCCGTGCAGACCCGCAAGTTAGGAGCAAGCTCGTGTTCTATGGAGAAAGAACAACCCAGGACGTGTGGCACACCCGACTTGGACATCCCTCCTCTGATATTCTGCGAGTGTTGGTGAATAAATACCACTTACCCATTAGTGGTACTATGGCCTTTAATAAAAGTTGTCATATTTGTCCACTAGGCAAGGCCTGTAGACTCCCTTTTTCTTACCGTACTTCTAATACACAAAATCCTCTTGAGTTGTTGCATCTTGATATATGGGGACCATCTCCTATGTTATCAAACTATGGCTATAAATTCTATTTGTCAATTGTGGATGATTATTCTCGCTTTGTGTGGTTATTTCCATTGGCAAGAAAATCAGATGTGATGTCTACCTTCATTACTTTCAAAAAGATGGCAGAAAATCGAATTACCAACACAATTAAAATGTTGCAAACTGATGGTAGTGGTGAGTTTACTAGCCGTGTTTTTGTCAACTTTCTTCGTGATAATGGTATATCCCAACAGGTGTCATGTCCCTACAAGCCACAACAAAATGGCACCGTCGAAAGGAAGCATCGACATATAGTTGAGATGGGACTTTGCTTACTTCACTACAACAAAAAGTAAAAAAGACGACCAAAAAAAGACGACGGTGGAAGAAAAAATCGTCGTGGATAAGTGACTTAAACAACAAAAAAACGGAGGTACTGTTGAATATTTTTTTATAATGACGCTCACAAATAAAAAAGCATCGTCTTATTAAAAAGGTTTTCTTCAGAGTTAAAATCTGACCAAAAAACAATGATAGTAGGTATGACAAGCGTCGTCTTATAAAAATCAAGTGTCCTTTTTTTTGATAAAGACATGGTTGTTTTGAACGACCCGTCGTCTATTATATGTAAAGATGACGCTTTTTATACAAACTATCGTCTATTATTTGTAAAGATGACGCTTTTTATAAAAACCATCGTCTATTATATGTAAAGATAACGCTTTTATAAAACCGTCATCTATTATATGTAAAGATGACGCTTTTATAAAACCGTCGTCTATTATATGTAAAGATGACGTTTTTTATAAAAACCGTTGTATATTATATGTAAAGATGACGCTTTTTATAAAAAACCGTCATCTATTTGTTTGGGCCGAAAATTTGGCACACACAGTCCAAAAGACCAAGCCCATGTTTATCCTGGGCAGCCACCAGCATTCTTTGAAAATTGGGCCAAAATCTTGCAAACCCAGCCCAAAATCAAGGAACCCAGGAAATCCAAAAGGGCAAACCAAGACTGATCGTTATATATAATAGATGACGCTTTTTATAAAAAAAACGGTCGTCTATTATATGTAGATGACGCTTTTTATAAAAAAACGGTCGTCTATTATATGTAAAGATGACGATTTTTATAAAAGCCGTCGTCTATTATGAAGTAAAGATGACGGTTTTTTTTTTAAAAATGGTCGTCTATTATATATAAAGATGACGCTTTTTATAAAAAATGGTCGTCTATTATATGTAAAAATGAC